AGAGAGAGGGAGAGAGAGATTCTTCCTCTTTTGTCAAAGAATTAGCACAATTCGAAATTGTTCAATGAAGCTCTAATACTGCAAAAACTTGAACTAGCCTGGCCTGATTCTCTTTTGACCAGAAGCATTAGAGGCTTTGCCATCAGATTTAAGGGTACCAGCTGAGTCCCCCTCAGAAGAAGCATCCATGGATTTGGTGAAAGAACTCGAGAGGTCGGCATATAAATCCACAACTCTCCTTATATTGCTATTGAGTTCTCTGATGAGACCCACATTTCGACTCAAATTATCGGGGATCTTCGACTCATGGTTTTGGTTGATCTCATTGATCAGAAGCCTGTTCTGGTCTAAGATGTTTTGAACTTGAACAAAGCTCTTTTGAAAGGTCTGGAGGACTTTACCATCTACTTGGGCTCCATTACCAGGGCCTGAGTATGCATCCCCCTCCATTTTTGAGCCCCAACTTCCACCAAAGTTAAACCTGACAGACAAAGAAGAGTTAAATTTAGAGAGAAAGATGAACAGGGAGCACATATTTGAGTGATATCTAGTAGGTCATGATTCATAACAGAATAAAAAAGGCCAGTTATTCCAAAAGTAGCAGCAAAAGAAGCAGAAATTGGTTTTCTTTTTCTGTGTTTTGGGCCAAAAAAAAAAGTTGGGCACTTCTGAAATAGGATAAGAGAGAAGGTTTCTAGGAATGTGCTCCAATGGACTTACAAGAGATAGGAGAGAGAAATAATAGGAAATAGCTTTAGTGGATTCCAATTAATAAAACTGAGAGAGAGGACCGATGAGTCCAAAACCAGTAGCAAAACGAGAGATAGAGAGAGGCTTTAAAGAATATGAGAGAGAGTCACCTTTTTAACTTTCAGACAGATACAATATTTGGCATTGCAGCTTGAGAGACTAATCCAACAAAAAAAACTCATGTATTAATTGGTTGCGAGTTAGAGAGAGAGAGAGACTCAAGGTTTTTCAGAAAATAAGGAGAATAAAGACTTCATGAGCAGATCTATTTCCAAAAGTACAAACCCCACACAAAAAGAAAGCAAAAACCATTACATTTGTGAAGAATCTCATGACCCATCAGACTGAAACCAGATTCTTTCATGGTTTCAATTAATATGCGACCATTAAATATATATACATATATAATAAAATACTGAAATAGAAATAAATTTAAAAGCAAACAAAAAAAAATAGGGGAGGAAAAATAAGAACCCTTTACTTCCAAGGACTTATTGGTTCAGGGAGCTCAGAAAACAGGACATAAATGGTAAACCCAAATGTTCAAACCGTACATTAAAGCTTGCAGATCTTTCTTGAAGACTTCAAAGTTAAAACTAAAATAAATAAATAAAATAAAAATAAATTCCCACAAATATGGCCAAAAATAATTCAAAAAAAGGTGGGTATGAACTATCAAGTATGAACATTAGTGTGAGTTCTTGGGGGAAATTTTCATTTCAAAGAGAAGAAACACAAAGGCTAGAAGGCAGAACCCATCTTTAACCTGCTTTTTTCTCACCCATATTTCATAAAAAAATTATCGCTACCATTCATCAATATAAAAACTTGACAAAGAATCACAAAAAGATTATTGTTAAAAAAAAAATCACAAAAAGATTAATGTTGAAAAAAAAAAGAATCACAAAAAGATTAGGCCAAAAATAAAACTCTAAAACAGAAGTTCTACAAAAGAGATAATGTAAAAACAATCAGTTCAAACCTTTAACAATGGAAAAAAATTACAACCCACAAAAAATAAAACAAATAAAGAGAACCAAGTTTCACAAGTCTGGAGAAATAACCCAAAAACCCAGCAAATTAAAACCCAAAAAGCAGGTCAAAACCCACAAAAAAATAGCGAAAAAAGCCAAGAAATTCACCATTACAGCATAAGATACAAAAAACCCAATTCATTATCCTTTTCCTCTTTCAATTTAAATAATTTCTTCAACGTACCTTTAGTCTCAGAGCATTTTCTCTTAAAATCCGCACGCCTAAAAGGATTCAGAAGCCGAGGAAAAAGGGGAAGAGATCGCCGATTTGATAAAGGAAAAGGGCGATGAATACAAAAGAGACGCGAGGCCTCGTAATATAAGAAGAAGAAGAGAGAGAAACAAGAGAGAGAGAGAGAGAAGAAGTCGAAGATATGCAAGAATAAGTAGATTTGACAGTCATGCCTTGCTTCCCTTTTCTATTTTCTTTTTTTTTTTCCTTCATTTTTTGATATTATCCAGAAATAAATAAATGGAAAGCCCCATTTTCTAGGGTTTTTTTCTTTTTTTTGCATTCATTTTTCTTTCTCTAATTTTTTATTTTTCACCACCGCATCTTAGGTGGGGGAACAAAAGTAAATTCCGAAAATCTTCCTTTAACTGGTTGATAGCCAATAGGGTTGAGCCACGTGGGAATCAGGCTCGGCAGATCTAGAGGCTCGGTCCGAGCCTAAAAGCCTTGCAGCTTTTGTTCCCTCACCTTTGTTGTGGGGCCCACATGGGGAAAACCACCTGGCCTTTATATATGTATTTTTTTATTTTTTTATTTTCTTTTTTGCTGATAAAATGGCCATCCGAATTTAAAAAATGACGAGGAGGTTCTCCGTTTTCGTGGGTTTGGACAAAATAACAGATTTGCCCTCGGCCGGATCTCTAGTACGGTTGTGCTTGTGCAATTACTTAGCTCTCTACTCATTTGTCTTGGGAGTAAGAAGAGTTCTCTCTCTTGGTGTACCCTCATGGCTCTCTCTCTCTTGTAGCCACATGTTTTCTCTCAAATTTTGTTTACTTCTACCCAGAAAACAAAAATTTAAAAATATTGAAAAAGTCCTCTCCCATGGTTCTCTCTCGTACTGACATATTTGACCTTAAATCTGCATATGGCAACAATAACTGTTAGCCCCAATTCCTCCACCATTATTCAAAAAATTGAACCGGCCAAGGCCTAGTTTCGAGTAATCGGTAAACTGGCCGAATTGCGCAAGTCTTGGTCAAAATAATATCAAAACTATAAAAAAAATATATAAAAAATTATGAAAAATATATTTAAAGCATGATTAAACAAAGCACATCCAAATGAAGTTGAAAATTAGTGAAAATATGAATTTTAAAAAATAAATTTGTGCTCAGAGATATTTTAGAAATTTTTCAAAAAAGATAAAAAAAAATGTAAAAATAAGTATTCATAATCAAAAACACTTTTTAAACTTTGCCAAAATGATATTAAAAAAAAACATTTAAAAACGTATTACAAACAAATCCATTATTTTTTGTGGATTTTTTTTTAAGTTTTTTAAAAATACCCGATCAAATCACCAAAACCAATCAAAATCAGAACCAGCCAGTGCCCAATTCCAATCTAAATGGCTGATTCCAAGTTGAAAAGCTTTCCTCTCTCTCTATCTTCATGGAAATTACTAAATCTTAGTGGCTTGTTAGAGTAGAGGTGCAGCATACATGTGGGGGTGGAGCGTCAATTTCGACAATGTTAGAAAAAATTATTAATTATAGTATAATCACGGGGCCAATACATTTCACCTAGAACAAAATAGAAAACTATGTGCATTAAAGCACTTTCTGCTCAATTGAACATGCGAGACCTCAAGTTTCACCGAATGCCTAGAGCTAGGCAATTGGGCATGATTTTGCAGTATTTTGGCATTCATGCGTCCAGAATCTCAACAAATGCTTATTTTCGCAGTAATTGAGCATGCTTTTGCAGTATTTGGGCATTCACGCGTCTAAGTGGAGTGACATTTGTCATAGAATAACTCAAATGGCATCCTATTTTTGTTTGGGTGCGGATTGTATAGAGCCATGGCTCTCTTGGGTGCGGTTTTATAGAGCGAAGGCTCTAAACACTCAAAGTAAAGCATTCAAATAGTGTCAAGAAATGTAGTTTTAATACTGTAAATCTTTGTGATAGCCTTAAAAAATATTTTTATCTCTAATTATAAAATTTAAAGCTTAGAAAATAGTGTAGATTGAGCATATAAATGAAGACTTGAAAATTTTGAAAATTGACGGTCAAAAAATGCATTATAAGATGCACTATTTTCAAAAATTGAAGTCCATTTTTTCTCATGTCCATGCATCTTGAAGTTGAAATAATCAATTTGAAGATTTTTTAGTATCAAAACAAGAGGATTTTTTAGTATCAAAACAACCCCTTCTAGTGAAATTTTTGAAGTGGTCCTTAATTTGATTCTTTAGAGCTTCACACTTATATAAATTTTTATCTAATTGAAATAGCACCCTATTTTTGTCCTAATTTTGTTTTATGGAAATCACCGCTCTCCTAAATTTCTTGTTTTTTTTTATAATTCGGTCGTCGTAATCGAAATAGGGATATAACATTGCTAAGGCCCAAATATCACCATTGGAACTTGTACTATCTCTCTCAGTATCGGAACACTACTAGGTCTCTCTCGACTCTGGTTTTCTACGTCTGTTTCACATGAAAATATTTTTCAATAAAAATATTTTTCACGTGAAAGAATTTCTCATATAATCAAGTGTGAGATAATGCATCTTTTCACACCAGTTGGGTGTGGAAATATTCTTGAGAGAATTTATTCACATGAAAATATTACTCTAATGTTCACACTATCATCTCCTGAATAACATAGGTGGCTGAATAACATAGGTGGCCTTAACATCCATAGTATGTACTTTCAAAAGTTACAATGCTCTCCCTCTTCCCTTAAAAGTGAAGATCTCTTTTAACAACCATGACACCCAATTTGGCAAAGAGCTGTGTCTCTATCTAGAAGTGGCAATAGAGAATCTGGCTTCCAATGGTAAACATTTTGCAGCCCTTTCAACTCTTGTTATTCTATTCTTGTAGAGATGCCATCCTTCTTACACATACAGATACCCCTGGGATATTTTGGTCATTTTCTAAGACCTCATTTGTAACTTGATGCATGTGGGTTTGGAGCCAAGACCTATTTTCTGCTCCGTTCCGGGTACTCCAATCTTTTATTCTAGGTTGGATATATCGAAGGAAAATTTTACGCGTCATACCCGGTGCTAACTCTGTTAGTTTCGGCCGAACAGGCTGAAGCTTTCGGATTTTAGCCTCGGATCGAAACGAGGCGAAGCCTGTTTCGATTAGATTCGGGCCTATTCGGGTCTGTTTTGGGCCGATTCGGCCTAAGCAAAAAAATATCTATATAAAAGTATTTTTTTATTTTTTATATATAAATATCTAAGTTATTTATTTATATTAAATTTAAAAAAAATCCTTAGACTACTCTCGAATCAGCCGAATATTTGCAGTTAATGTATATAACAAGATGTCTTCAATGGTTATGATATCTTGTTTTTTTGGGGAATATCACATTAAAGCCATTGAAGGCTTAATGTATACAATGGTTCTGATATCTTGTTTTTTTGGAATATGTTGTTTGTAATTTTTTGTAAACTTTTTTCAAGAGAAATTATTTGTGAAACATCTTATAGAATTTTACTTTAAATCAAGATTTTTAATTTACTCCTGCTATTACTTTGTTTATCTATAAATAAAATTCAATAATACTAAATTAATAAAGAAATAAAATTATAAGGAAGAAGTTTTTTTGAAAAAAAATAAAATACGGGTTTACATCGGTTCCATTAAAAAAAATGCAATTTTTTAAAGATCTATTTAAAAAGTTGGAATTATAAACGGATTTGGCAAAATTGTACAGTTTTTTTAAAAAAAACGGGGTTTAGAAGGGGCCTTTTCGTGCCTTGAAAATGAGGATTTTTAGGACAGTTTTCAATTGTTATGCAGAACTCTATAAAATGCCTTAATGCCACATTTTTTTCATGGGAAGCGCATCCGCCATGTTATGCAATTTTAAGCATAGTTAAAAGGAAAAATATCTTCATATTTTATTTTTAAATGTCATTTCACAATAGACTCAAGTTTTTAAAATATATCTTGAGGCATAAAATTTGTAGATTTTATTTCTTCTAACTTTCTTTCTTAATTTAAACTTTCTTTTTATACCAAACAAATTTATAAATACATGTATTTTCTAAAAGTCATCCTCCCAAACTTCTAGAGATAGATAAAAGCTTCGTAGCGGTGAGAGGTTATCGGGAGGAGAGAGGAGAGAGGGAGTGAGAGAAGTAAGAAGAGAAAATAAAGAAGATTGAGATATATAACTAAAGAAAGAGAAATGATTGGATTTAAAAAGATTACGTCTTTGTTATATTTGTTTAGATTATAAAATAGGTTTAAAGTGGCTAGGGGGTTGGAAGATATCTTTTGAAACCTTAGATTTATAAACAAAATGAAACGTAAAAATCGATGAAATAGAGATATTTTTCCCTTAAAAAAATGAATGGATGAACCAGATTGCTTGTTCAAAATCCTAATCCAAATCGGCGATCTAGATGGCAATCTAATGGAGTGAATTGCCCAATAAAAAAATAAAAAATATACTATTATACAAAACTTTAAAAATTTAAAAACAAGATAAAGGGCTGGATTAGCCGGTTGTTCTGTCAATATCTAGCGGGTTCCTTATTATGGAATTGGACTGGTCCCGATTCCCAATCTGAATTAAGTAATTCTGATCTTAGGCGTTTACCTTCTTTCTAAAGGTATTTTGGTCATTTCATGACATACAATAATAAATAGAAGAAATACTAGTAGCACAAATTACGGATACAGCCTGCCCATCAAAACATAGGGTAATTAACGATAAAATATTTTTTTTGTGAATTAAAAATTATCTTTATCATATTTTACGAGGGGATCCCTTTTTTTTTTATTATTATCTAAAATATTTTCCTTTTAGTACTTTAAGTGTTGAAGTATATTGGCTTTTTTCTTTTTTTTTTGAGAAATCGATCGAATACATTAAGCACCAAATGATAATAAAAATCGGGTGGGCATTCCAAGCAGTGTAGCAAGAATAGAACCGAAAAGGTTAACCTAACATGGGGCTAGAAGCAGTTATTTGGTACTAACTGGTAAACCGACCGGTTCAACCGGCCTAACTAGGCAAGTCCTAGGCGGTCAAAAAAGTTTTAAGAGTTAAAAAATACAAAAAATAATCTAATAAAATATGAAAAATATATTTAAAACATAACTAAACAAAGCACATCCAAATTAAGTTGAAAATTAATGAAAAATAAATTTTAAATAATCGATTCGTGTCCAAGGTTATTTTTAAAATCTTTTAAAAAGGATGGAAAATGTAAA